TCATAGATTTATACTTTGTTTTTTTCCCAGAAACCCTATGAGAAACTGATTACATTTCTATAACTTTAAAAACGTTTTTTTTGGCTTCAGCAGTTTCCCCTTCTCATAATAAAATGTAGGGCAGAACTTGTTACATGCTGGTTTGGTTTTTTTCTTTTTCCTTTTCAACATTCCTCTTAGGAAAGCAATAGAATATTCCTGATTGTTACCATTATAAGTTTTGGTACCTGCTTCTTTGTTTATTCACTTAATAGCTCCTCTATTTACAATAATGTCTCCTTAGACTTGTGAATGTTTCTCTCTGCTTTTTTCTTTGTGTATTTTCCAAATTTATAAGCTCAGTAATCTGTCACTTACAACGCAAGGGTAAAACCTGTCTCCTACATGGTTTGATAGAGCTATAGAACATGCAGTTGAAAGAGACTTAAATAGATACGGAGTGAAATGTAGAATACAGATAATAGGCAGTTTCTTATGCTTGGGCTCAGGGTAGTGCCTGATTGGTAATAGCATGTATTTGTATTTGCATTTTTTTGAATGAATGAATGAAAGAAAGAGGTTGAGATGCTGATTTATGATCTTAAGTTCTTTTATTCTTAGGAATTCTTTTAGAAAGAATTTATGAATTTAAGAACTTGTTTGTTTCTTTAGATTCCAATTCCCAAACTTACGTACTACAGATAATAAGTAGGGTTTTAGATAAAGATTATCCTGGCAGCTTGCCCCTTTTCACCTGGTTTGTTTTTTTCCTTCACAAAATTTATACTTTTGCCTTTGTATTCATCAGGAATCAGTTCTGATTTGCTGTGTGTGATGAGTTATCCAGAGCTTAAAATGGTATCTGGAAGTCAGTAGGTACTCAGATTGTAGTTTGGTTGAAATGAATTATTAGGTGAGTAAGAAAATGGCAGTGTTCTCAGATGAACCGGTATAATCCATTGCAGCAATATGGTTCCAACAACCCCCAATCAGAACTTTCTCAGTTCTAATTCTTGCTCTAATGGAGTCACTAATGTTGTCTTAGCTTCTCCATCAAACGAATATATGATTGGTATTTTTTCCCTCCTTCCTTCCTTTCCACACTTCTCTATCTATAAATAAATTAAAAACAACAACAACAACAAAAAACTGCCTTGAGACAGGTTCTTGTTATTTTGCCCAGGCTGGTCTCAAACTCCTGGGTTCAAGCAATCCTCCTGCCTCAGCTTCCCAAAGTTTGTTTTTTATTTAAATGTGAATAATCCAATATACTTTGTAAAGTTTTCTGTTCTTTACTATTCTGAGATTTCACCGTATTTCCTTTACATCCATTAAATTTTATTAATAAAATATGTCCTTTGTTTCCAAAACTACAGAATTTTTATGTTTTGGTTTAACAGTGTGATGCTGTTGATTCTGCAGTTTGAAATGTGTCTAGTGTTTCTCAAAGTCTCGTTCTTTCTTGGTGATGTCCTAGCAATTGATTATTAGAAAAGAAAAACTTGAGAAATTCGAAATGGTTGAAACATGTTCTAGCACACGTTTTATTTTTCCAACGCTAATGCTTTAGAGGCAGGGAGTCAGTAAATAGAAAATGAATATGAGCAGTCTTTGTGAGAGGATGGGAACCCAGCCTTACGTAATACTGGTGGCTGATCCCTTTAATGTAAAAGTAATGCATTGCAAGTGTGAAGTGTTCTGAAGAATGTGTAGTGTGATGAGTTAATTCTCAATAGTGGAACTGTTTTGAGTTATTGTTACATTATTTGCCAGAATATAAACAAAGGGAATTCTTTCCTTGTGGATGATCCATTTCTACTTAATCTCTCATCTTTCAACAAATTGTTCTCTGCTGCCTTCCACAAAGGGCTGTGTGGCTCAAGTTTGAATCATTGTGCTTGGAGGCAAGACATATAATAATACTTTACTTTTTATGCTTCTTTGGATTTTTATCAGAAATAATATGGCTGTTTGATCTGAAGCATGATAATTGGTTTTTCCCTTACTTCAGTATTTATACTTCTAGTCATAACGCTTTAAGCCCTTCATCATTCAACAGTTATTTCTGTGTTTTAGGTTACTAGAATCAGTCATTCTTCCTGTCCAGCATCTCTATTTGCTGCTGTATGTGTCACTGGTGAAGAATATACAACCATCTATCTTGAGTTAGTATTATTTTTCCTCCACATATGAGCATCAGTGGAAAACTTTAGGGGAAAACAAAAAGGAACTAGAGAGGACAAGGAATTTCCTGAGACTCATGGTCTGACTTTGAGAGTGTATTAGGTCCTTACTTGCTACATTGGTTCATGGTTGTCACTGATTTCCTTTACTAGTTACTGATGGTATATTGTAGTTGACCTGTCTTCTGTTTGTTATTCTTGGAGCAACAGCTTTCATACTTATCATTTTGTTGTCCATGGCATGTAGAAGCACTTCTGGAATATTTCCCGAGCACCTTCATTGTTTCTTTTTTCATTTTTGCCATTCTGTATCATCCTTTTAGTCTTTTAATATTTTTTTTTACAGTCAAGTCTTACCTATCTTCAGTCCATTCTCCACGCAGCAACCAGACTGTTCATGTACAATTTTAACCTGATCTGGCTATTCCCCTACTAAAAACCTTTAGTGGCACTTAGGATAAATTAAATCCTTAGCATGGTGTATTAGTTCATTTTCACACTGCTACAAGAACTGCCTGAGATTGGGCATTTTATAAAGAAAAGACGTTTAGGCCGGGTGTGGTGGCTCAAGCCTGTAATCCTAACACTTTAGGAGGCCTAGGCAGGCCGATCACCTTGTCAGGAGTGACCTGGTCAGGAGTTTGAGACCAGCCTGGCCAACATGGAGAAACGTGTTTCTACTAAAAATAGAAAAACTAGCTGGGCGTAGTGGCTGGGCACCTGTAATCCCAGTTACTCAGACACTGAGGTAGGAGAATTGCTTGAACCTGGGAGGTGGAGGTTGCAGTAAGCCGAGATTGTGCCACTGTACTCCAGTCTGGGAGACAGAGCGAAACTCCATCTCAAAAATAAAGAAGGGAACGGGAAGGGAGGTTTAACTGACTTAGTTTTGCAGGGTGTACAGAAACAGGAGGCATGGGTAGGGAGGCCTCAGGAAACTTACAATCATGGCAGAAGGCAAAGGGGAAGCCGGCATGTCTTACGTGGCCAGATCAGGAGGAAGCAGAGTGGTGGGGAGTGGGGGGTGCTATATACTTTCCAACAACAAGATCTTGTGAGAACTCTGTCATGAAAACAAGAAGGGGGAGGTCTACTCCTATGATTCTGTCACCTCCCACCAGGCCCCTGCTCCAACTTTGGGAATTGCAAATGCTACATGAGATTTGGGTGGGGACACAGAGCCAAAGCATCCCACATGGCCAGGGAGGCCCTGTGTGGCCGGACTCCAGCCTGCCTCCGCAGCTTTCTCTTGTGCCAGTCTCCAGCAGGCTCATGGTGCCAGTGAGGAGGGGATCTTAACTCCTCCAGAGTGTGCTTTTGGTCTCCTATGCACCTTCTAGGCTTAGAGGACAACTCTGCATTCAAAAAAAACTTTTCTGAGGACAACTTTTTAAAGAGTCGTTTTCAGTTCACAGTCAAACGAGGAAGATAGAGATTTTCCTTATTCCCCCCTGACTCTCACGCATGCATAGCCTTCCCCATTATCAACACCCCCACCAGAATGCTGCATTTGTTAGAATTGAGGAATCTGCCTTGACATACCATAATCACCCAAAATTCATAGTTTACATTAGGGCTCACTCTTGGGTTGTACATTCTGTGGGTTTGCCCAAATGTATACTTAATGTATCCCCCATTCTAGTATCATACAGAAGATTTCACTGTCCTAAAAAGCTTGTGCTCCACCTGTTCATCCCTTTCCCTCCAGTCCCTGGCAACCAGTGATCTTTTTACTGTTTCTGTAGTTTGACCTTTTCCAGAGTGTCATCTACTTGAATCGCAAAGTATGTAGACTTTTCAGATAGGCTTCTTTCACTGAGTGGCATACATTTAAGCTCCCTCCATATCTTTTCATGGCTCAGTAGCTCATTTCTTTTTAGCACTGAGTGATACTCCATCGTCAGGATGTACTACAGTTTTATTCATTCTCCTAGTGAGGACATCTTGGCTCCTTCAAAGTTTTGGCAGTTGTGAGTCAAACAAAATTTGGTAGTTGTGAATAAACATCCATGTGCAGGTTCTCATGTAGACATAGTTCAACTCCTTTAGGTAACTACCAAGGAATGTGACTGCTGTGTCCTACAGTAAGAATATTTTTACTTTTGTAAGAAACAACCAGACTTTGAAAGTGTACCATTTTGCATTGCCACCAGCAGTGAATAAGAGTGCCTGTTGCTCCACATCCTCTTCAACATTTGGTGGTGTCAGTGTTTTGGATTTTGGCTATTCTAATGAGTAGTATTCAAATTGTATTTCATTTTAATTTGCCTTTCCTTGATGACATCTGATAGCGTACATCTTTTCTTAATGCTTCTCTGCCATTTGTGTATTCATATGTATATTCCATGTGACCCAATAATTCCATTTCTTGATATATACCCAAAAGAATTGAAAGCAGGGGCCTAAACAGGTATTTGTACATCCATGTTCATAGCAGCACTGTTCGCAACCGGCAAAAGGTGGAAGGAACCCAGGTGTCTCCAGATGTTGTGAATGGATGAGAAAAATGTGGTATATACACACACAATGGAATATTAGGCTTTTATTTAGTAATTGAAAGTTACTGTTCAACGGGTACAGAGTTTCAGTTTTGCAAGATGAAAAAAGTTCTGTTAATGGATGGTTATGTAACATTGTGAACATATTTAATGCCACTGAACTCTACACTTAAAAATGGTTAAGATGATAAACTTTAGGTTACATGTATTTTACCACAGTTAAAAGTAAAAAATAAATAAATAAATAAATAAAAACAAAAACTTACCACAGTTAAATCTTAGGAAGAACTTGCCTTTTAGTGGCCAAGCGGTAACCTGATCTGTTACTGGTGTCTTTCAGGCCTGGCGTTTCCTTGACCATGCAGGCATTTTCTGAAGAGGAAAGGAAGCAGTGGTTGGAAGCTCTGGGTGGAAAGGAAGCTGTAAGAATAATCAATGGTTGAGTTTTATTTCAAAGCCTTTAGAGTTGACTTGCATTCATTTTTATGTTATTTTTGTGTAGTATTTGAGAAAAGTTCCCTGCTGAAACAGGTATTCCAAAAATCATCTTGGAAGCATTCAACATTCTGGTAACTTGGCTTGGGCAGGCAGCAGTACATATAAGACTGGCGTATCATTAGTTTTTATTTCTGTATTTTCTTTTTTTTTTTTTTTTTGAGGCGGAGTCTGCTCTGTCGCCCAGGCTGGAGTGCAGTGGCGCGATCTCGCTCACTGCAGCTCCCTCCCGGTTCCCCATTCTCCTGCCTCGCCCCGAGTAGCTGGACTACAGGCGCCCCACCCCGGCTATTTTTTTGTATTTTTAGTGAGACGGTTTCATTGTGTTAGCCAGGATGTTCGATCTCTGACTCGTGTCCGCCGTCTCGGCTCCAAAGTGCTGGATTAGGCTTGAGCCACCGCGCCCGGCCTATTTCTGTATTTTCTTGACTTGCCACTCTGATTTGCTGTGCTTGAGGAAGTCATCTAAATTCTCAATTTCGTCTTGCCTACTTGATGGTACTTTGGGTGATGAACACAATAAATGTCTGCAATGCATTTTGATCTCAGTGGAGATGGAACAGGAAATGTGAGACCAGGCAATATTATAAGTGACTGCTGTAATTATTTTGCTTGATATAACAGTTTAAACTTTCATCTAGTGGTTTACAGAATACAGTATTATGTAGCCTTAGTGAATGGGCCTCTGTATTCAGAGTGCTTTGAGGAATACATGGAAGGTAGTGGTATAGATCCAGAGGCACCAGGATTCAGTCTGTTGGCCACTATTGAAGCACTACTTTCATTTTGGTGGACTAGTGGCTTTTGAGAGTTGAGAATTTGGCACGTCATGTATTGGGGATTTAGTGAGGATAATGATAGAAAACACCACAGAACCAATTTAAATAAACTCGACTTAAAGTATTATGTATGACTCTAAATAAACTGCCATTGCAGGTACCAGGCAGGCTTATCTGGAAAGCATTTGCCAGTTCAGCAGTGTTGAGAACAAAAAAACCCAGAAAGAGCATGGTTTGAAAGTAGAGGAGGTATCATCTAGAGCAGAAACAGATTCAGAATACAGCTTATGAAATGGGCAAAAGCTAATGTTATCTCATGGTAACAGCGCATTGGTGGGTGTATAGGAAACGAGAGCAAGGAGGCTGATCAGCAACGCGTGTGGAAATCTTGAAGTACTTGGAAAATGAAAACTCAAATTAACATAGTATAAAAATTGATTCTATATTGGGAATGTATCACTCTTACACCAAAAAAAAAAAAAAGGCATCTTGATCAGATTTGGGAGTCTTACCATATTTGGAATGCATTTAGCTTCTGTAGTTTTAGTTTGATTGATTGATTGATGGAATCTCGCTCTGTTGCCCAGTCTGGAGTGCAGTGACATGACCTTGGCTCAGTGCAACCTTTGCCTCCTGGGTTCAAGCGATTCTCCTGCTTGAGTCTTCCAACTAGCTGGGATTACAGGCGTGTACCACCATGCCCAGCTAATTTTTGTAATTTTTAGTGGAGATGGGATTTCACCATGTTGGCCAGGCCGTTCTTGAACTCCTGACCTCAAATGATCCACCCACTTTGGCCTCCCAAAGTGTTGGGATTACAGGCGTAAGCCACCACACCCGGCCTTATTTCTATTTATTCTTAATTTGTCGTTGAAATTTTTAGCTGTGAATCAAGAGTATTTCCAGTGTTTATGGTTACTGAGACTGCAAAACAGGTTATACTCATCTTCTTTAGTAAAGACAGCACACTCACTAGAATGTATCTCTCCAGAGATGCAGGAAGTATATTGGATTTGCATCCATTAAAATACAGAAAAAAAAAGTGAGTTTGCATAGCAGAAAGACTAAGTCATTGAGAAATGAGACTGTTGCCAATGTCAGCATAACCTTGAAGACGTATATAACCTCTCTTTTAGTCAGGAGCCAAGTGATTAACTCAGAGATACTCAGACAAAGGCAAGTCTGCAGAAAAACAATATTCAGCTATGTATTTATATGGCGACACTGAAGGGACTGCCTATTTTTGTTGGGTGTTGTAAGCCTTGCAAATAATTTGCCAGCCTTACAGTTCTTAAAAGTTGCCTAGAATTATCATCATGCTATTTCTGTTGTAGTTACCTAAATTATGGGCAGGAGTTATCTGTTTAGGTAAATACTGATTTTTAGAAATAGTGGTGAAAACATGAGCTCCGTCTTAATGGTTAGAATACAGCAGTTTCTTTATCACTCTGTAGCTGTACAGCTGAGTATTTCAAGTATACACAAACTTTCAATAAGTCCCTTAAGGACCCTGCCCCCTTTATCTTATTTTTGCTTATTAATATTCCTCAGGGAGAGAAAAGTGGTCTCAGAGATGTTCCTTTTTGTTATTTATCTTCGCATCTGAGCATATGATAGTGTGTTATTAACTGAGAAAACACAGCGCACTGTCTGCCTGAAGTAAGTGTTGGATCCCACATATTTAGAGCTCACTCCCACAAGACTGCCTGACTTCAGATGCCCAGCACAAGTCTGGACCCTCCCATACTTCTGGCTAACTGTTCCCATGAACCCTTCATCAGTTTAATAATTTGCCAGATTAGCTCCCAGAACTCAGAGAAATACTTTACTTATATTTAGTAGTATATTATAAAAGTTACAACTCTGGAATGGCCCAGTGGAAGAGATGCATAGGACAAAGTCTGAAGTGAGGTTGAGGTGGGTGCACCAACCTCCCAGCACTTCTCATGTTCACCAATGCAGAAGCTTATCAGAGCTCGTTGTTGTTTCAGAACTCAGTCGCCAGCTCACGCCCGAAGAGACTGGTGGGTAGCGCTGAAAGAAATATCACTGGGTCTTTGTAGTATTCAGTCCCATCCTGAGATGGACTATCCAGGGCCTCTATCAGAAGTCACCTCATTATCATAAACTCACAGGTGACCAAAAGGATCTTGTTATGAATAACAAAAGACGTTCTTATTACTCAGGAAATTCCAAGAGTTTAGAAGCTCTGTGTCAGGAAGTGGGGATGAAGACCAGTTTCTTATTCTGTCACATTAACCAACATCAAGCTTATGAAAATGTGTTTTTTTTTTTTTTTTTTGGTATGGTCCTCAGTGTGCCTACTTGAATAATTTTTGCTGATTATTTAAAAAATACTGTTTTTCCATTCTCTCTTTTATTAGCTGTCCCATAGTTTTAATACAGCCATCATCCCAAGACCAGAAGGAAGTAAGTGCTCATTTATAAAAATGGTTGTATCATCCTTTTCCGTCTATTGCTTTGTGTACATTATGGATGTCAAGCTGTTGCTGGGGAGCTTACTTCTCTGCACCCTCTATTATATAGAGGGCTATTACATGTGATAGTCCTATATTGCATGTATTCTGTTTTACTCAATGGGGACCTCCTCAACATTTCTTGGACTACTGTAGCCCTTGTTGATCTTTCCCATCTGTGGGCTTTTCTTTTCTTTTTTTGATACAGAGTCTTGCTTTGTCACCCAGGCTGCAGTGCAGTGGCATGATCTTTGATCCTTGCAGCTTCAACCTCCTGGGCTCAGGCGATCCTCCCACTTCAGTCTCCTGAGTAGTTGGGACTACAGGCGTGTACCACCATACCCGGCCAATTTTTTTTTATTTTTTAATTGTTTTGTTGAGGTGGGATCTTGCTATGTTGTCCAGGCTTGTCTCAAACTCCTGGCGTCAAGTGATCCTCCTACCTCTGCCTTCCAAAGTGCTGAGATTACAGGCATGAGTCATCTTGCCTGGCCTATGAGTGTTTCTCTTTAAAAAAAAAAAAAAACAACTTTCTCTACATTTCACTTTTATGTTTATTCACTTTGATTGTTATGTAATAATCACATAAGAGTTTCAAGTGTGCAACCTTGAACTTCCTGTCTGAGTTGTTAACTCCTGTGGGTAGGAGCTGTTTATAACCAGGCCCTCTTTCCTACCCTTGATATGCTTTATCTTTATGGTGTTGGACTACAGGCTATGCAAATAGTTTATCAGTGCCCCTTGGACAATAGCAACAACAACTAAATATATTCAAATATTCGAGGACAACGATCTACACATGCCACTCACTGTCTGTACTTGAAGAAAATGAAACATGCCCAGCTCTGTACCCTTGATTTTTTTTTTTTTTTAAACATAAAAATGTGATCAGATCTGCTGGGTTCCTGATGAATTTACTTTTGACATATTTGGAGAAATTAAGCTACATCTATCAGATGTCCACAGTTTGTAAACACTGTGGTTATGTAACATAGGATTCCAACATAATTGTGATCACTTGAGCCAGTGTTTGAATAAAAGACAACTCTTGTACCCTGGCACTGGCGACTGACAGGATGCCACGAGCAGCACATCCCCTGAGGCACCTTCTTACTCCTCTTCCTTCTTCCCTTCTCCCTCTCTCCTTTGTTCCTTTCTTCTTCTGACACCTTTCTTCCTTCCTCCCTCCTCCTCCTCCCCCCTTTCCTTTCCTTTCCCTCATTCCCTCCTCTCCCCTTTCTCTTTCCTTCTTTTCTCTTTTTTCTCTTCTTATTACAGAGACATTAAAACATATCTTTTTAAGAAAACATAGTTTTGCTAAGCAGAAATAAATACTCCACTTTATAAAGATTTGTGAATAGTGGATTCTTGAGCAGAAAACCACTGCCCAATTCATTAAAATTCTTTTCAAGCTTAGCATTATGGGTTATGTATGAAGTTTATATTCATGGATTGTTCTTGTAACCCTTCTGAGAGCCAAGGATTAGTGTTACTGTTCTCTAGGTTCTAAATGCAGTGGCTAAGGGTACTTTTCTTAATATATATATATTTTTTTGGAGATGGAGTCTCGCTCTGTCGCCCAGGCTGGAGTGCAGTGGCGTGATCTCGGCTCACTGCAAGCTCTGCCTCCCAGGTTCACGCTATTCTCCTGCCTCAGCCTCCAGAGTAGCTGGGACTACAGGCACCCCCCACCACGCCCAGCTAATTTATTGTATTTTTAGTAGAGTCAGGGTTTCACCATGTTAGGCAGGATGGTCTCGATCTCCTGACCTCATGATCTGCCTGCCTCGGCCTCCCAAAGTGCTGGGATTATAAGCGTGAGCCACTGCGCCTGGCCTCTTAACTTAATTTTTGAAACAAGAATTGTCATTCATTAGGATATACAGATATGCCAGCCTAATCATAGATAAGCATCTATATTAGAAAAAGTATAAAAATTATATTTCCAAAATAGTCTGTTCTGCCATATGAATCATCTGTTTTAAATTTATTATGAAAATAATAAAATATTACTTTAAAAGCTTGGAGCATGGTGTAAAATATCAAAATTTTAATTCAAACTCATTGCCCAAATATTTTTAAAAAGCTTTTCTTAAAATTTTTCCTCCTAGGTTTTTTTTTTTTTTTTTAAAGGATTGTGTTCTTAGATTCTCAAGTAATTTAAGAACATTCATTCATATATATATATATATATATATACACACACACATACACACACACACATATATATATAGTTTTCTTTAACTAAGCTGCTGTTGGAATTTTTGGCAAAATATATCTTAACTGTGTCTAGATAGCTTCCCTTAGAGATTTATATCACTTTTTTTTGACTTTTAAAATGAATTATATTTATTTATTTTAAAATTATTTTACATTACAAATTTATATATTATTGGTAAATAGATATCCTGATATTCCAGCAAGTGCTCTAAATATATGAAATTCCTTCCAGGCACGGTGGCTCACACCTGTAATCCCAGCACTTTGGGAGGCCAAAGTGGTCGGATCACCTGAGGTCAGGAGTTCGAGACCAGCCTGGCCAACATGGTGCAACCTCATCTCTACTAGAAATACAAAAAATTAGCTGGGCATGGTGGTGGGCACCTGTAATCACAGCTACTTGGGAGGCTGAGGTGGAAGAATTGCTTGAACCCAGGAGGTGTGGAGGTTGCAGTGAGCCGAGATTGTGCCACAGCACTCTAGCTTGGGTGACAAAGTGAGACTCCATCTCAAAAAAAAAAAAAATATATATATATATACACACACACACACATATATTTAAAATAAATATATACACACACACATAGCTTTAAGCTTTTTTTTTTTTTTGGATACAGCGTGTTGCTCTGTCACCTAGTGCAGTGGCATGATCATGACTCACTGCAGCCTCTACCTGCTGGGCTGAAGCTATCCTCCTCCTTCAGCCTCCTGAGCAGCTGGGACTACAGGCACCCATCTTAAATTTGACTAATTTAAAAACATCTTTAGTAGAGGTGGGGCCTAGCCATGTTCCCCAAGCAAGTCAGGTACTCCCAGGCTCAAGTGATCATTCTCCCTTGGCCTCCCAAGGTGGTGGGATTACAAGTGTGAGCCCCTGTGCCCATCTGCCTTTAGCTTTTTAGTAGTAATCTAAAAATTAGTTTGGATTTAAAATTTTTTTCCTATTTTTAAAACGAAGAGAAATGTGATGATAATTGTACACTTAATGTTTTAAACTGTTTCTTGTAGGTGCACAGTTGGATAAGTTGGGGTTCACAATTATCAGAAAATGCATCAGTGCTGTTGAAACACGAGGTAATATGAATCATTTCATTCATGAGAGGCTATAGGTATGTAAAATCTAATAGTCATTAAAATACTTCTTGCATTTAAGTGTTACAAAATGAAATGTGCTAACACAAAATGCTCATTCTGAGTATCAGAAGGGTCAGTTATTCATTTACTATGACAATGAGGGATTTTCCTTTTTATTTACATATTTCTTCCCTGTATTAAAACATGAGGTCAGTGTTGAAATGAGAAGTGTCTTAGTCTGTTAGATCTGCCATAGCAAGATAGTACAAATTGGGTGGCTTAAAGAATAGAAATTTATTTTCTCATGGTTCTGAAGGCTGGAAGTTCAAGATCAAGGTGTCAAATTCAAGATTTCTTCTGAGGCCTCCCCTCTTGGCTTGCAGGTGGCCACCTTCCCGCTGTGTCCTTAGATTGCCTTTTTTTCTGTGTACCCATGTCCCTGGTGTCTCTTTTACATGTCGAAATTTCTTCTTATAAGGGCCTATTAGATTAGAGCCCACCCTGAAGGCTGCCTTTTAACTTACTTATATCTTTAAAGCTCCCATCTCTAAACACAGTCCCGTTCTGAGAAACTGGTGGTTAGGGCTTCAACATAAAAATTTTAGGGGGATACAGTTCAGCCCGTAAGAATCCTTAGAAGAATCAGCAGTGATGTACAACTGATTGTAATCACTTTTTGTTGAAGCACTCTGAAGATACTCTCCGCCCTCCATTGTTGTGTGGGTCTCTATTTAAAACAATCAACTTGCCAGATGTGGTGGCTCATGCCTGTAATCCCAGCACTTTGGGAGGTTGAGGTAGGCAGATCACCTGAGGCTGGGAGTTGGAGACCATCCTGGCGAAGATGGTGAAACCCTATCTCTACTAAAAATACAAAAATTGCTGGGCGTGATGCACACACCTGGAATCCCGGCTACTTGGGAGGCTGAGGCAGGAGAATTGGTTGAACCTGGGAGACAGAGGTTGCAGTGAGCCGAAATCGAGGCTGGAACCTGGGTGATAGAGCGAGATTCCATCTCAAAAAAAAAAAAAAAAAAAAAAATCTGCTTTATTGAGGTATAATTTGCAGACAGTAAAATTCACTGATTTTAATTGTACAAATGGAAGAGTCTTGAAAACATACACAGTTGTGATACTAGTACACACATAGAAAATTTGTTTCCCCCACTGAGTTCTTTTCTGGCCCCTGCCTCCCTCCTTTCCTGTATTTGCTGCGTTGCTCTTTTTTTGAATTTGTTTTAAGACAGGGTCTCACTGTGTCACCCAGGCTGGAGTATAGTGGTGCAGTCATAGCTCACTGCAGCCTAAAATTCCTGGGTTCAAGCAGTCCTCCTGCCGCCTGGGCCTCCCAAAGTGCTGGAATTACAGACAAGAGCCACCATGCCTGTCCCTGAGCTACTTTTTATCATGCATGCTCTGCCCCCCCACCTTTTTTTTTTTTTTTTTTTTTTAACATTTTCAGCATTTTTGTACAAATGGAATCATGCAGTTTATAGTCTTTTACTCTGGCTTTGTGTGTGTAATGCTTTTGAGATTCATCAATTGGGTGGATACTTAGCTCTATAAATTTCTGTTTATTGCCTGGTAATATTCCATTATATGGATATACCACAATTTGTTTATCCATTCACCTATTGATAAATATTTGGGTTGTTTTTCCAGTTTAAATTTAAGGAAAGCTAACTCCTCCACTGACCAGTAGCCCAAAACATTTTTTTAAAAGTCTCTAAGCAAAAATTGGGTCCTTTTGCTATGCAGCCATTCCAGCAGACTTTAGAGAAATGAAATATTAAACATTGCAAAACAGGCTTTTTCTGGAGGTTGACATTCTCTTTGTTTAGAGATCTAGTGAAGTATGTATAAATGGAATATTTTATTCACTCTCATATATTCTATATTACAGTCTGACTTTGAATGCCTTAGTGGGGTGAAGTACTGCCTTCACATTCTCTCTCCAAACAAAGTCTTTGTTACAAAGACAGGACTGCCACCTGTGAAATTAGTGTGTCGGATAACGGCAGAGTAGGAGCTGTTGTGTGATTTGGGGATTTGCCTATCAATAACAACAACCCATGCCACAGAAAGCCATTCTTCCCACATTCTCTTGCAGTGGCAATTCACACTGACAGGTTTTCATTCATTTCAGTCTGCACTGAAGTTGAGCTGGCAAATTTGTTTCTTATCCTGGTACCTCAAAAGAATTTCAGGAAAAAAAAAATCCTGCAATTTCAGTATCTTTCTCTTAATACTCATGTTTCTTTTTTTCTGAGTTTCTTAAGTAGAACTTTGTGTCATTTGCATGCTTATTAATTTGGATAAATTCTTTCCCAAAAGGGCATGTTTTATACATACTTATTTCTGCCTGAATAGATGCAGATCTATCTAGAAGGCTTTCTGATTGGTATGTGTGGTTTCATGGAGTGTTATGTACATTGAATGGCATAAATATATATTGGAATCTGGATGTATTGAATATGTTTTTATAAGTATATAGATGTTGAATAGGTCTACACATTTTATGTTAGCTTTTCTCATTTAAAAATAAGAGACAAAAAGCATATATTTTTCTTTTTGAATATTTTTCCCCCCAACGTTTGCTTTCAGTGGAGTAATAGACTAAAAATAAGAGTTTAAAAGAATCGACAGTCGGAACTTATTATTGAAAATGATGAGGACAGCTTGGTGCCACTGGCTGACACCTATGATCCCAGCACTTTGGGAGGTTGAGGTGGGAGGATTGCTTGAGCCCAAGAGTTCAAGACCAGTGTGGGCAGCATAGCATGTCCCTGTCTCTATAAAAAGTTTTAAAAATTAGCTGAGGGTTATACTGTGTGCTTGTGGTGACAGCTAATCAGGAGGCTGAGGTGGGAGGATCACTTGATCCCAGGGATTGAGGCCACAGTGAGCTTGGAAAACAGGTAAAGAGAAAGAAATAGTTGGTAAATAGCATTAACAACTACTGGATACTTCTTGAGTCTACATGACTAATGACCAGAAGCATTTAATGAGATCTAATTGAAGAATTACTTCTAATCACTGTTTTCATGTTCTAAATATGATTATCTAAAAACTAGTATTTTATATGGTTTGGTTAAAGCCATTAGCCTTTTTCTTACCGTTTCATCTCGTGTCTTCCTGTTTTTGATCTGACTGCTTAGAACATATTTATTGCAACATAAACATAAACCCAAAGACTACTGTGAAAATACTTACTATTTAAATGGAATTTCTCTTAAGCCATCTATTCAGTTTGTGTGTATGACTTATGAAATGTTCCATATTTTTCTCCTGTAACTTTGTCCCATGGATTGCACCAACCAGAAAAAGTTTTTAGCTTTGAGCACGAAGTAATTTTTCTCTAATTGTTTTTGTGGCCAAAAGTTTATTTGCCTTGGCTCAAAATAAACTGGAGATCTGGCAGTGCCCAGATTGTTCACAGGACAGATACTCAGGAAGCCTGAACATCATAAATTGGATTCACAGGAGCAATTTTTGTGGCTTTGTAGCAGAAACTTCAGTGAAGGAATAATTTCTGTGGCTCTGTAGCAGAAACTTCTGTGAATGGTAAAGATATGGGATCCATTGCTGATGTTGCAAAAGGAAGTGATTCCAGTATCCACATCCAGGAAAATTTCTACATGGTATAGCTGCAGGGGCTTATCTAGAGGGTAAAGGCACAGTGTGCTGCCTGAGAGGAGCTCTTCTTTTCTCAAACCTAGAGCCTGGAAGCCAAGTTCTGAAGACAGTGGAATTGCCCCTTGTTAGTATAATTAACAGATTGTTAGCAAACACCTAGATCCCATTCTTTGCTTGCCCCCACATCTGCCTCCCAGTAATGGTGGCCAGAGGTGAACTGAGGGGAGCCAGGGTACAGATGATGTGTTTGAATCTCTCAGCATATTCTCTGTGATTCTTTTAGAAATGTCCACAACAAACACGCCTTCGGTCATCAAAAATGATACATGGATTGTTCCTGTGTCACCATCCAAGATCACATGCACTTGGAACATCAGCATCCTTTGATTCAGGTGTAGAATAGCTCTCAGCTGGGGCTTTACTTCCTTTATTTGGAAACTGCCTTCCCCAGCTGGTAATTGGGCCTGCTGGCATTCTTCAGAGTGACCACAGAGCAGAAGAGGCACAATGAACCTTCCCCATCAGATTCCTTGAAAATTGAGCTGATATATTGAAGGCAGCAGACAGATTCACAATTTAGGGACATGGGTTTTTCAAGATATGATAAACAGACAACACATGTACTTCTCTAAATTGTTCTGTCATGGCCACTTGTCTCCTCCACTAGGTTCTCCCGTGTCCTCCAGCTGCTTCCACTGACAGCTCGATTGTGAAGTGAGCTTCAGTTACCAGAGGCTTGTATACAGAGGGTCCCTTCCCACCTTGTTCACATTCTCATCCTCCCGAATTCAATCAGATTTTGATTTAATTCTGCCACAAATTAGTTTTTTTCTGAAGCCATAGACAGATTGCCATAAACAAAGGAGATCATTTTAACTTAAGAGTTTCAAAAAGTAATATGGACAAAATATTGGCTTATTCTAGATTAGGTCATATATTTCATGGATGTTGATAGAAGATACAGGATTATGGCTAAAACTTTTGAAATGAAATATTTGACTAAAATTTTTATGAATGGAACTAATTTCCAGTAGTTTTTGATCATGAAAATAAAATCTCATTTTGATTAATTTATCACATTTACTCAGAGGTCTTTCCTAAAGTTGCGTTTATTAAACCAGTGGTTTATTCAAAATGAATAAGATGATGAAGATACCCACTTAGAAACTTGGTGTAAAAAAATCATAAAACTGTTCATCTGCAATCAGGCAGCCTTAGGAGGTCCAGTATTTTGTTTGGTTTCGTTTGGTTGTAGTATCAAAACCAAAAGGTATTTTTATGATCTTACTGCTTCTGTTATATCACAACATATGTATATATAAAATGAGATACGTTTATTTAAATACACTGGATTTTGAAGGCGG